TACCCCGGGGTGGGCACCCATCAGCCATTCCCCGGGGTGCAGATCCTCTCCAGATCTTGTGCCCCTGGGGTGGGCACCCGTCCACCCACCTCGACATCCCTGGGGGTGCAAACCCTCTCCTGATCCAGTACCCCCGGGGTGGGCACCCATCAGCCATCCCAGGGGGTGCAAACCTTGCCCGGATGGGGATCCTCCCGGTCACCCCATGGGGTGCAAGCTCTGCCAGGGTCTGCCACCAGCACCCTGGGGTGCTTGCATCCTCCTGGCCCCCCTCCATGGGATACACACAGGGGGTGGGCACCCACGCACCCATGTGGCCGGTCTGGGGGTCCAGCACCCTGGGACAACGTGCACCAGGCTGCCTTGTGGTGTGCAATTCCTGATGGGGTCCCACACCCCCAAAAGGGGCAGGCACCCAAGGTGCAAACCCCGGTGGTGACCCACACTCTGGGTGCATGCACCCCCTCAACAGCAAACCCCATTGAGGGGCAAAACCCCAGGGATCCCCCAGTGCAGCGTAAGGAGGGACCCCCCAAATTTCCCTAGCCTGGCTTTGCTGTCCCACTTTGTCCCCAAACCTACTAGCCCACCCCAATATTGCATGTCCAGGGGGTGGTGGGGTGGTGTTTCTGCTATTCCTTTTGGGGGGCTCAGAACCCGTTTTGAATACACATTTGTTTCCCGCTCCCCCTCCAGTTTCCTCCTTATCCCAATCCCCATTTTTTTATGCAAAACCGAGAGGGCAAAGAGAAATAACCAGCCCAGACAGCCTGAGAAAGAGCTGCCCGAATTGCGACACAGCTTTGCTGCCCACCCTCTTTCCCAAAGTTTCTGTTTCCCTGCGCAGTTTTGCGGTGTTTTCTTTGCTGGTTTGGGTTTTTCTCCTCTCTGCTTTGCCACGCAGCATCTCTGCTTGTCACTCTTATTTCTGCCGTCCCTTTGGCAGCGGGAAGGCTTTGATCTGTACCCCAATTTCACCCTGAACCCCCTCCCCAGCCCCACCGCTGCTTCTCTGTCCTGTATCTTGGGGACATTTTGTGTACCTCAAACAGGGAGTGGCGAGCTCACAGTGCCCAGGTCTCCATGTGCCCCGGTGTGAGTCTCAGCAGAGCAAAAGGCTGGGACACATCCAGGGACACCACGTCCTGACCCCCCCACCCTGCTCAGCCAGCCATGGCCTCGGCCGTCCCCACTCAGCCGCCGGGCTCTCCATCCCAGAGAGGCCCCTCAAGATCAGGCCGTGGAGCCGCGGGAGTTCCTTTGACCCTCATTAAGTTCCCTTCCAACCTAAACCATTCCATGAGTCTATAATTTATTTGCAGTGGGGCTCAGCTAACCCTGAACCCACCCTTTTTGGGAGCTTGGGATGGTGGGGGAGTTGGTGGACCTACGGTGGCTTCAGTCCCCTCCTTCTTCACCCTCCGGCTGCCATCTCGTCCTCCTGCGGGGTTGGTGGGCTGCGTCCTCCATGCTGGTGTATCAGGACCCCCAACTTTCCCCATGGGTTGTGTGCCTGCAAGCTCTGGGAAGCAGCCCCCCCTTTTTTTCCCCCACCCCACCCCGATATGGGTGCTAAAGGGGAGTTTTATTCTCCGTTTTCAGGCAAGTCCTGGAAGGCTCTGAGCCTGTCGCAGAAGCGTCCCTACGTGGAGGAGGCCGAGCGGCTGCGGGTGAAGCACATGCAAGATTACCCCAACTACAAATACCGGCCCCGGCGGAAGAAGCAGGTCAAGCGCATCTGCAAACGGGTGGATCCTGGGTTTTTGCTGGGCAGCCTGACGAGGGACCAAAACGCCGTGCCGGAGAAGCGGACCTGCGGCCGGGCCGGGGGGGAAAAAGAGGGTCCGGGTGAGTACCCACCTCGCCCGGGCCTAGCGGCCGGCCGGGGATACCGGGAGGCCCCGTGCAGCAGCAGCAGCAACGGTAGCACCAGTGTGGACACCTACCCCTACGGGCTGCCCACCCCCCCGGAGATGTCTCCGTTGGACGCCATAGACCCCGAGCAGAGCTTCTTCTCCTCGGCCTGCCCCGAGGAGCATCACCGCTCCCACCTCGCTGGAGCCACCTACTCCCCGGAGTATGCGGGGAGCTCCATCCCGTGCAACCACCACCCTCTCAGCCCCATCCCGCAGCCGGCCACATGCATGATCCCCCCGGCCTCCAGCTGCCCTCCTCTTCCTCCTCCTCCCAGCTACTACACGCCCGCCTTCCCTTCCTTGCACCCTCCTAGCCTCCATGCCCACCTGGGCCAGCTCTCCCCACCGCCTGACCACCACGGCTTTGACACCTTGGACCAGCTGAGCCAAGCCGAGCTCCTGGGGGAGATGGACCGCAACGAGTTCGACCAGTATCTCAACAACCCTGGCCATGGTGACCACCAGGGCGGTGTCTTGGCCAATGGACACGTCCCGGCGTCTGGCAGCTCCCACACCTCCGAGACCAGCCTCATCTCCGTCCTGGCCGATGCCACGGCCACCTACTACAATAACTACAGCGTCTCCTAGACCCCCCCGCCGGCCGGGGGCCACCTGGACCGGCCGAGGAAGGACCCAACACAGTATTACGAGGCGTTGCTGCCCCGGGGACATCGCTGGCCGCCCCTCGGGGTGACCGAGTCCGAACCGTGAGGGCCGTGGAGACTCCTCGGTGGTGTAGGTAAAGGATTTCGGTCGTCAGTTCACCACTGGTGCAAAGCCTGGGGTGCTCTGCTCCCAAGGTGGGGGGGCAAAGAGGGGCAATTTCCCAATGCCAAAGCCCTTGGGCCAAGTCCCTCTTCCAAAGCAGAGATGCTCAAGGGGGTGTGGGAAGGCTCCCTGCCGTTTTGGGGCACCCCCAGCTCTGCTTTGGAGTCAGGGGGTGGCAGCATCCCACAAAAAGCAGCTCTGAAGTCCTGGGAGGGGCAAAAAAAAAAAAAGCCCTGGAAGGGGACAAGGCAGGGATGGCGGGGGGAAAAGGGAAGATTTTGGTAAAGGGTCTGCAAGCCACCCATGGCTCTTGGCACCCTGACCTGGGGGTGAAATCTGCCTTGTCCCCCTGCCCCCAGACCACAAGTTGGGGGCTTCATCCCCTCAGGAAGCCCCAGAGGGGCTGGGACACCAGGGATGCTGCTGGGCTGTCCCTGGGGATGCACGGTGGGGGCTGCAGGGGGGGACATTGCAGAGGAGGGTTAGATCAGGGCTTGCAAAGGCAGGATGGGGCCAGCATCCACGTCCCCCTCATGGTTTCTCCTTGGCCTCCCACTGGGCCGGGAAGGCGTCCTGGGATGAGCACTTGGGGCAAAGAGGTGATGATGTAGCAGACACATGTTGTTTCGTTGTTTTGTTTTATTTTTTTAACCAAACATCCTTTGAAGGCAAAGGCTCCACGTTTCGAGCCGCAGTGCCCAATGCCTCTTCTAACTCCGGCGTATTATTGCTTGTAATAAAGCTGTACATTGATTTATTCCTTCCATTATTCCTCCCCTCGGATTTTGTATTGCTCGAGTTCTCTTCCTTTTCATAAAGATGAAGCTTTATTTTAAATCAGTTATATGACATGATTAATCTTAGTGTTTACTGTATGGCACTTGGTAATGATTAGTTAGTAGTGTGGCTATGATTTTCTGGTTTCAGTCCCCAACGTGTATTAATAATAATTGCAAATAATACTTAAAAAAAACACCCCAGAACTTCACAGGTTTTTTTAAGCTAATACATTCCATCTTTTTTGTGTGACTCTATGCATTTTGAATGAGTGTAGATACGAGTTTGCATAAAATATTTAATTTAAATAAATGTTTTTATACAATGATTGTTTTATGATTTAAATTGCTGTAGCTATTGACAAAGATTTCAAAACAGAAACATTTCCTGTGTGAGTGCTATTTTTTTAATTATTTTTTTTTGTTGTTGGTATTTTCGGCCAAACTTTTCTACTTCCATTTTTTTTTTTTTTAAATAAAAAAAGATCTGTGGTTATCTTTACAAATTGTGGATTGCTTTCTGACAAACCAACTCGAGGCATGACGTGGGCTTACCTTCGCTTTTCTCGGTGTGTCTCAGGGGCAGCAGGTCACTCTGGGGGCCTTGATCCCGCTTTTGCCATCTCATAAATATGGTCTTCTCATGACAACCCCTGTGTAGCTATTACGGTGAAGTTAAAGCAAAGCTTTGCTTTTGGAGTGTTGGTGAGGACAAATGATGTTGCCTATTTATGGGGCGAGTGCCAGTGCCTGGAGCGTGGTTTTTATTCACATTTAAGGCACTTTTTCACAGTTTTGTGCCGATGGACCATTTAAGATGCTCCAGTGCAAGGGCGACGTGAAGGATCCTCGCTGCAAGTGAGGCCTCGGAAATGGAGTGTGGGTGCCATTTGAGACGCTGTGTGATGGGTGGTATTCTAGGTAGACGTTGAGTGGTGGCCTTCAAGCATCACTAGCGAAGAGAAAAGCTTAGTCCTCCCTGTGGCCCATGGACCAATATCACAGCCTGCTCCTGCCAGACATTAAATCAGGTTGTGTCCCTGCAGTCCTTGAGGTTGAGCCACACACACCTCCTAGTACATGTGTCCTCCTGCTTGGCCCCAAAAGTCAAGGAGCAAGTTTTGTAATGCACTTTGTGATGCCCACCTACGTGTGTTGGCTGAAAGGGTTCTCCAGAGGTCACTCAACCCAACCCAACCTGATTGGGCTGGCTTGCCTCCCATAAATGACTTATCTCTGACTCAGGGAGCCCATGGTCTCAGACGGTGGGAGGCTGTGTAGTGTTTGGGGAGGCACCAATATGCCCCTGTCCTGTGCTTATGGTCCTCCTTCACTCCTTACCTGTGGTTCCCCTGGAGAGAACCCTCCCATCACACACTCCGTCTTTTCTTTTGCCCATCGCTTGGACATGTCCAGCTGGTTTCCCTTTTAGGATAATTGAAATGGAAGTCTTTGAGAGTTCTGCTGGCACTCTGGACCATGGTGGCTCTTGCACCAGCACAGCACAAGGCTATGATGCTCAGTGTGGTGCTGGCTGGATGGTGTAGCAGCCCAGGTGGGGCAGGGTCACTCTTCCAAGAGGATTTGTGAACCAGCCCAATGGTGCTGGAGGGATGGAGGTGCCATGAACCTCTTTGGCCTCTCTGCCCAATGCCAGCAGCATTGACTCATGTGGGACCATGACAAGAGCAAGGCTGAAGAAGTCCTGCTCCTTCCACTTCCTGCTCTGCCCACAATCCCTGTGGTGCCCCAGACCTGGAGGATGCCCACAGCTCCCCAGAAGGACATTAAAAAGTTCTCATAGTTGGGGTGGCCTGGGGCCCTGTGCCCAAACCTGGATCTGCCTTTCAACCAGCAAATCCAGGGGACTGCTCCCTTCCAAGCAGGCTCTCGTTAGAAGGTCACCTACCCCAGGGCACCAGAGGTGCACCCACCCCAGGACATCAGAGGTGCACCCACCACTGGGTAATCTGCAAACATCTCTTTCTGCCAGCTCTGCTGCAGGGGCAGCTGAGAACAGTGTTACGAGTTTTTAAACAGCCTTGGTGAGGAACCAAAGAGCTCGGTCATCCCTCCCCCCAACAAGATGAGCTCTGGTTATTGCCACCAACATGTCTGATGTGGGCTCTTGCATTCATCCCCCCTGATGGGACCCTCTCTCCAGGACATTGGCTGCCCTCTTCTGTGCTGCCCCGAGCCCTGAGCAGCGATGGGACGGACTGAAACACTCCATGAGCCTCTTCCCCACTTCCCTTCTTGCAGACAGGGTCACTTTTGGGGTTGGTGGAGTCAAAGCCCACACCATGAGCTCCCAGCAGCCCACACAGTGGTGGCCAGGGTCTGGTTTCTCCAGGAAAAGGGATTTCTCCATGCATCCCAGCCCCGAGCCGCCCGCGAGCCGAGCCTGTCCCCACTTGCTCAACCCGGAGCCACGTGAGGAGCGGTGGGAGCGTGTCCCCGTGCTCTCTCCGCACGTCAGGAAGAGCTACAGGCCCCAACCGGGAGCCGGGGCCCCCCGAGGGCTTTGGGAGCTGCAGCCAAGGCGAGGTGCGGCTCCCTGGGAGCCAGGGCTCGCCGGCCAGATCCGGGCACACACCCAGCGCCGGGAGCAGATGGCTTCCACCTCCCAGGACACCACCGGCAGCTGAGACGAAATTCGGGAGCGGAGGCATCCCTCCCTTCTCCGGTGGGATGGAAAATGCAAGGCTGTGGGGGGGTTGCCTCCAGCCCCGCAGCAGGTTTTTTGGGATGCAGGGCGTCACTGAGGGGACCAGCCAGAAATTAAGTGGCTGGCAGAGGTGGGAAGGAGCCTTTTTTACTTGGAAAGTGGGTGTTCCTACAGAGGATTGATGGTCGTGGTGGTTTATGGATGTTAGGGGGGGTCTTCACCCCAAGTGGGACTCGTTCTGCATCAACCCTGGGCACGTTTTTCCTCCCTCCCTATCCCAAACCCACAAGCCCAAGGCTGCTTCTGTGCACTCTGAGGAGCCTTGTGGTTTGTGGGCTGCTTTCTCCAGGCTGGGACGGGCTGGGAACCAGCAGGAAGATCAAATCAGGGCTGCAGGAAGGGATAAAATGACCTCACACCACGTTTAGGCTCCTGCTCAAGGGTGTCAGATTGGGCCAGGGCAAGGTTCTTTCCTTGCCAGGAGGTGAGCAGGGTATGAGTCCTCTGCCCCCGGTGGCCGGTGGCCATGACCAGCCCTTGGCCCCGGTGGCTGTGTGGGTCACAGTGCTGGGCGTCAGGAGCAGGGATGAGGTCACCTTCCTGGATAGCACTAGGATCTGGGCTGGCCAGGAGCTGCTGTGTGTGTCATGCCCTGTCCCTCCTTGATGGGCAATTTCCTTCGCCTCCCTTGAGCAGGTGGTGGCTCCTTTCTGTCCTTACTCCACCAGCCATGTCTGCTTGTCCCAGTGCCACCGTGCAGGGGTAAGACCCCATTGACAAGCAGCCCAGTGACTGCTCCGTGCCTCAGTTTCCCTGTTTGTAAAATAGAGATAATACTTCCTCCCCTCCCATCCCTTTTGTGTCCAGCGTTGGGACATGAAGTGTCTCCTACCAAGAGTTTGAACAGGACCAAGTGCTTGTTCTAAGACCCCCTTAGCTTGTGCTAAGACCCCCTTAGCACAAGGGGTCTCTACCCCATGACAGGGCTCTGGGTGCTGCTACTGAATCAGCTGGGAGGTGATTATTTTCCCTCCACTGCTCTCAAAGGAGAAGCAGGGGAGGGGAGTAGAGGCAGAGAAGGTGGTGAGGAGACTTGACTGAGGTCACCCTACAAATCAGTGGCAGAGCCAAGGGGAGACCCTCAACAGCACCACCTCCCCCAAAACCCCCTTTTTTTCCCCCATCAACCTTTTTCTGCTGATGAGTAAACACCTTCCCCCTCCATCTCTTTCTGCCCCCCTTCAACCCCATCTCCCAACCCCACCGCACCCCTCCAGGCGGCGAGGACAGGATCGGGCCCTCCCTCCCGTCTCTCCAGAGGAGGGAATGAGACAAGCTGCTGAGTGGTTTCCTGCCCGGCACTGCCAATGGGAGCTGCTGGGGTGCCGGGAGCAGGGGAGGATGTATCCGGAGCTGAGTGTTTCCTGGCAGATAAGGCCAGCCCCTCCTGCCGGATGTTATGAGTCCAGGTCCTACCTCCACGTTTCAAGCGAGGGGGCCGAGGAAAGGCTTGGATGTTTATGTCAAGGAAAAATAACTTCTCCCTCTGTGTACAGGCCGCCGGCTCCCCCAGGGCTACGTGTGGGAGGGTAAATGCTGGGAATAGGAAAACAAGGGGCGAGGGGATGGAGGTGGGTGGTGGGGGAGAAGGGTTTGGCCCACAGGGCAGGAGGGCTGTGGGTAGGCTGGGCAGGCTGTGGGGTCTCTCCGTCTCTGCTGGGGATGGGGTGGGAGGGTGCCAAGGCAAAAGAAGGGGCAAGCTGAGGAGAAGAGCCCATGGCTGGATAGTGCAGGCTCAGCCCTGTGGGCTCAAGCTCAGCGTCAGTCCAGAGTCACCTCGGTGGCAACCTGCTTGGCTGAGTCCAGCACATCACCTCTGGTGCCCACCTGGAGGAGATCCATCCCCCAGTGAGGACTTGCTCAGAAGCACCCTTTCAAGGCAAGATCTAAGGCCACCCACACTAGTCTCTGTGGCTGAAGGTCCAGAGTTAGCTCCTGCCCACCTCTGATAACCGGGGATCCGGAGGTGTTGAAAGAGGGAGGATGGTGGAAGAGTTGTGTCCGATGGCCCAGCAGCACCCAGCTGGCTGGGGAGGAGGGAGAGGTTGTGCAGTGGGTATGGAGGGAATGAGCCAAATAGGGATCTTCTCCATCTTTTTATGATAAATACTTAAAATCCAGTGCAGGCCAGACTCTTCTCTTTTGAATGCAGCTTGTGTGCTCCTGCCACCCTTCTGGGGCCTTCCACAGGGCCCAAGTGGAAAACTCTGCACTGCTTGAGGTGTTCAGAGTCATCTCTGAACGCTGGAAGGGACATGGAGAGACCCACCCTAGGCTCACACAGGTCAAGAAGCCAAGACAGAGAAGATCCCCCTCCTTCAACCGCTACCATCCACGCTGTGAAATTATCATAGTCCCCAGCACAGAGGTGCTCAGGCCAACAAATCCTGCCCTGACCCTGGGGTGGGAGTAGCAAGGGCATCCATAGCAAAGTTTTGGATGTGACAACCTGGTTTGAATGTGGCTGGACCAACCCAGGGGCCTCGTGGTCAAACAACGGAGTCTGGACTGTCTCGCTCGTGGACACTACCAGAGACTCTAGAGACATTGTTTTTGCTGACATTGCCCAACTTCTGAGTGAGAGTTTTGTCTTTGGCATCAATAGAGAGAAGTCTGAAAACAGAGCAAATATGGCAATCTCCTGTGCAGGGTGGTT